TGTGTCTGTGTGTCTGTGTGCCTGTGTGCCTGTTTGCCTAAGTGCCTGTCTGTCTGTGTGTCTGTGTGCATGTGTGCCTGTGTGTCTGTGTGTCCCTGTGTCCCTGTGTCTGTCTGTCTGTCTGTCTGTCTGTCTTTGTGTCTCTGTGTCTCTGTGTCTCTGTGTATGTGTGCCTGTGTGCCTGTGTGCCTGTGTGCCTGTGTGTCTGTGTGTCTGTGTGTCTGTGTGTCTGTGTGTCTGTGTGCCTGTGTGCCTGTGTGCCTGAGTGCATGTCTGTCTGTGTGTCTGTGTGCCTGTGTGCCCTTTGTGTCTGTCTGTCTGTGTGTCTGTGTGTCTGTCTGTCTGTCTTTGTGTCTGTGTGTCTGTGTGTCTGTGTGTCTGTGTGCCTGTGTGCCTGTTTGCCTAAGTGCCTGTCTGTCTGTGTGTCTGTGTGCATGTGTGCCTGTGTGTCTGTGTGTCCCTGTGTCCCTGTGTCTGTCTGTCTGTCTGTCTGTCTGTCTGTCTGTCTGTCTCTGTGTCTCTGTGTCTCTGTGTATGTGTGCCTGTGTGCCTGTGTGCCTGTGTGCCTGTGTGTCTGTGTGTCTGTGTGCCTGTGTGCCTGTGTGCCTGTGTGTATGTCTGTCTGTGTGTCTGTGTGTCTGTCTGTCTGTCTGTCTTTGTGTCTGTGTGTATGTGTGCCTGTGTGCCTGTGTGTCTGTGTGTCTGAGTGCCTGTCTGTGTGTGTGTGTGTCTGTGTGCCTGTGTGCCTGTGTGTCTGTCTGTCTGTGTGTCTGTGTGCCTGAGTGCCTGTCTGTCTGTGTGTCTGTGTGCCTGTGTGCCTGTGTGCCTGTGTGCCTGAGTGCCTGTCTGTCTGTGTGGCTGTGTGCCTGCGTGTCTGTCTGTCTGTGCGTCTGTGTGTCTGTCTGTCTGTCTGTCTTTGTGTCTGTGTGTATGTGTGTCTGTGTGTGTGTGTGCCTGTGTGCCTGTCTGTCTGTCTGTCTGTGTGTCTGTGTGCCTGTGGGTCTCTGTGTCTGTGTGTCTGCGTGTCTGTGTGTCTGTGTGTCCCTGTGCTTGTGTGTTTGTTTTTTTCTGTCTTTCTTTGTTTCCGTGTGTCTGTGTGTCTGTGTATCTGTGTGTCCTGTGTCTGTGTGTCTGTGTGTCCGTGTGTGAGTGTGTCTGTGTGTCTGTGTGTCTGTGTTTCTGTGTGTCAGCGTGTCAGTGTGTTAGTGTGTCTGTGTGTGTATGTGACTGTGTGTCTGTGTGTCTGTTTGTCTGTGTTTCTGTGTGTCGATGGTTCCTGTGTTCCTGTGTGTCTAGTGCCTGTCTGTCTGGTGTCTGTGTGCCTGTGTGCCTGTGTGTCTGCTTCTGTCTGTGTGTCATGGGTGCCTGAGTGCCTTCTGTCTGTCTGTCTGTCTGTCTTTGTGTTTTGTGTGTCTTGTGTTGTCTGTGTTCCTTGCGGCCTGTGGTGCCTGAGTGCCTGTCTGTCTGTGTGTCTGTGTGCCTGTGTGCCTGTGTGTCTGTCTGTCTGTGTGTCTGTGTGTCTGTCTGTCTGTCTGTCTTTGTGTCTGTGTGTTTGTGTGTCTGTGTGTCTGTGTGTCTGTGTGCCTGTGTGCCTGTGTGCCTGAGTGCCTGTCTGTCTGTGTGTCTGTGTGCCTGTGTGCCTGTGTGTCTGTCTGTCTGTGTGTCTGTGTGCCTGTCTGCCTGTCTGTCTTTGTGTCTGTGTGTCTGTGTGTCTGTGTGTCTGTGTGTCTGTGTGCCTGTGTGCCTGTGTGCCTGAGTGCATGTCTGTCTGTGTGTCTGTGTGCCTGTGTCCTGTGTGTCTGTTCTGTCTGTGTGTCTGGGTTCTGTCTGTCTGTCTGTCCTTGTGTCTCCGTTTCTGTGTGTCTGTGTGGTGCTGTGGGCCTGTTTGCCGTGTGCCTGTGTGCCTAGTCCCTGTCCTGTCTGTGTCCTGGTGTGCCTGTGTTTCGGTCTGTCGGTTGTGTCTGTGTGTCTGCCTTTCTTCTGTGTGCCTGTGTGTCGGTCTGTCTGTGTGTCTGTTTGTCTGTATGTCTGTCTGTCTTTGTGTCTGTGTGTCTGTGTGTCTGTGTGTCTGTGTGCCTGTCTGTCTGTGTGTCTGTGTGCCTGAGTGCATGTGTGTCTGTGTGCCGGTGTGCCCTGTGTGTCTGTCTGTCTGTGTGTCTGTGTGTCTGTTTGTCTGTCTGCCTTTGTGTCTGTGTGTCTGTGTGTCTGTGTGCCTGTGTGCCTGTGTGCCTGTGTGCCTGAGTGCCTGAGTGCCTGTCTGTCTGTGTGTCTGTGTGCCTGTGTGCCTGTGTGTCTGTCTGTCTGTGTGTCTGTGTGTCTGCCTGTCTGTCTGTCTGTGTGTCTGTGTGTCTGTGTGTCTGTGTGCCTGTGTGCCTGTGTGCCTGTGAACCTGAGTGCCTGTCTGTCTGTGTGTCTGTGTGCCTGTGTGCCTGTGTGTTTGTCTGTCTGTGTGTCTGTGTGCCTGAGTGCCTGTCTGTGTGTCTGTGTGTCTGTGTGTCTGTGTGTCTGTGTGTCTGTGTGTCTGCGTTGTGTGTCTGTGTGCCTGTGTGCCTGTGTGCCTGAGTGCCTGTGTGTCTGTGTGCCTGTGTGCCTGTGTGTCTGTCTGTCTGTGTGTCTGTGTGTCTGTCTGTCTGTCTGTCTGTCTGTGTGTCTGTCTGTCTGTGTGTCTGTGTGCCTGTGTGCCTGTGTGCCTGTGTGCCTGAGTGCCTGTCTGTCTGTGTGTCTGTGTGCCTGTGTGCCTGTGTGTCGGTCTGTCTGTGTGTCTGTTTGTCTGTATGTCTGTCTGTCTTTGTGTCTGTGTGTCTGTGTGTCTGTGTGTCTGTGTGCCTGTCTGTCTGTGTGTCTGTGTGCCTGAGTGCATGTGTGTCTGTGTGCCGGTGTGCCTGTGTGTCTGTCTGT